GACAGAAAACTGCTGCTGCGTTCTATTCATGACGTATTGACACTAATTTCAAATGATTTTCAACGGTCGTTTTGTCGCATCCAGTGTACAAGACAGACTTTAGCTGTTGCGGTGCAGACACGGTGTTACTCCCCTATCGAGAAGAAACAAAGCAACCTCGGCGTCCGATCGCAGGCCTTTCGCCACTTGAGTTCTCTCCAGCGCTGGAAAGCTGATCCGACATTTACACGGGTTCTACTTCTTGCCTTAAGCCTTCTTTTGTTCCGCAGACGTTTTCCTCTTTTGTTTTTTATCCGCCATCTCATCTCTTTCTGTCGCTCGGCTCGCTAATGTCCGTCCTGTGCACTGAACGTTCTCTCCTCCACATCATGAGTAGACACGCCCCTTACTGCTGATTGGCTACAAGTTTGTTTTGCTACTCGGCCCGAATCAGTTTTCTAAAGCGTTTTTGAAAAATCGCTTACCCCACCTTTAATATGTGCTTTATAAGTAGTTATAAAAAGCCAATACTCTAGTAATATGCATGCTTACAGTATAAGTAACTAGTTAATAGTGAGAATTGGTCCCTAAACTAAAGTGTTACCAATCAGTTTATACAGACGGTTCAAAAAACAATTCTACATTTCACTGGAGCCCCTATGCACCATTTTAGATATTTTAATAGTGAAACGTATAACGGGGGACCTATGTAATCCAATTCACAAATATAATCTGATTATTTTAAAGAATTTATCAAATTTGGATTCAGACTAACCACTTGCTGAATCCATCACTGAATTTACGGACTCAGTATTCTTTTGTCTAGTATGTAAACCACTATAAGAGGCTTGGGAGGCTTTCCCACTGCAAAAACACTGATGTATCTCAAATGAAGAGGAGCTGTTGACACTGGCGCAGTGTATAAAGTGATAAAAACATACACTTCCTGATTAGTGAGGTAGAGCAGATATAAAAGGGGAAAAGAGCACTGAGGTACAAAGCTGTGGTCACTTAAAAGGGAAAGGAATAAAAACAGAGAGATGAGAGGAGAGAAAATAAAGTATTTCCACATGCAAATCAGCAAGGTCACGTATTCAACAGCCTTGTTAATTTTTTGTCTCACTCTAAAGGCCAAAAAATCTTTGAAGATTTGCCATCAGGAAAGCAATATTGTTCTTTGCAAATGGTTGCTATGGTAGCAGCTGGATAAGTGAAAATTGGCTTTGGGTTTTTGAAGCTTAGACACTGTGTGTGTGTGTGTGTGTGTGTGTGCGTGTGTGTGTGTGTTTTATACACACCAGAGTTGAGGTCTCGTCCTGGGTTGAAAGCTCGACTATTGACGGTAGGGGAGAGACGATCACAGCTGATAGTCTTCGAAACATTGGTGTTAAAATTACCATCAAATCTGAAATCAGAGAGAGGACAAAACATCAGTACAGATTCTTTTAACCAGTGATAATTAGAAAGTGACACTGAAGAAGACACGGTCCAGCACTTGAGCGGAGAGTGTTCCGTTTGTTCAAGGCCTCAGTCATGAAGAAAAATGAAGCTGAAGTGTTTCTTATTCTATAATAACAGCTTTTACAGTTGTGTGGTAAAACCCCCTGAGGAAGACTGCATCAATATCTATTTCTACCAGCTGCACAGCTCTTGTGCTGAAGATGAAAGAGAAAGATGGAGGGATGCAGTCTGAGGGGACAGAAGGATGACAAAGAGCAGATGGGAGAACACTTTTGATTTTATTCACAGCATCCAACACTTTTAGACAGGCATGAAGTAATATAAATATAAAAAGAAACTGCTAAGGTTCAGTAAGATTTTTTAAAAATATTTACTGAAAAATTTTATTCAGCAAATATGCATTAAATTGACTAAAAAGACAGTAGAGAGATTTTTAATGTTGGGAAAAATAATTTCTTTCAAACTCACTGAAAAAAAGTAATTATTGACAGCAAAAAATGTTTCTTGAGCACCAAATATTAAGATTAATAAAAAAAATGTTTTCTGAAGGATCATGTGACACTGAAGACTGGAGTAATAGCTGCTGAAAATTCAGCTTTACCATCACAATAATATGCTGTGCATTTTAAAATATCTTAAAATAGCAAATGGTTATTTCAAATTATAATAACACTTCACAATATTATTTTTTATGGTATTTTTGCTCAAATAAATGCTTTGGTGAGCAAAAGAGACTTCTAAACTAAGACAACACTTTCTAAAACATAAAAAAAAAAAATCTTACCTGAATGGCAGTGTACATATAACAAATATAAAAACAGAAAAATATTAATATTTAGAAAAAAAAAAGACTTAAAAGTCATACTATTACTTTTAAGGATGAAAACTCAAATCTTATTTTAATTATTAATATTTAGTATTTTAGTCTTCATACAAAAAAACTAAAACGCTCCCGTTATTAATCCAATAATGCAATGCACAAAACACTCTGACTGGCAAAACACATGTTTATCTACACTGCAAATAGCCAAGCAGTAATACAGTCTGGCTTGCTTTATCTTGCATAGTTTTGTTCATGGTTTGAAAATGAGGACATCATTCAACCTGTCCATTTTGACATTCAGATGGATTCACACTAAAGAGAGAGGAAAAATTTACCAAATAACCATTTTTGTGTGTATATACACACACACACACACACACACAGTATACTGGAACATCTTCTGTTTGGCTTGACTGATAATAAGCCAATTTAATGTGCCATCTATGCAGAGTTATATGGTTAGTTGCATGTTGACGGCACACGATTAGTGGCAGAGTGGCCATTAGTGATCAGGAACCCGACTAGATTTAATCATGAGTTTTGTCTATTCAGAATGTGCTCCAAACAAATAATATTTCATAGCCACCCATTATGCTGCTGTTTCAGGTCTCTGCCTGCACTAATCGGGCACTGATCTAAGCAGTGTCTCCAGAGATCTTGCACTGCCACACTCGCTTTCATCTCCCTTATGACTCTACAAAATCACTGCTGCACAAACACACACTATCTCTGTAACAAGCTCTAGCCATCATTTCCTCATCCTCTGCCAACCGACTCTGTTCTGATTGCAGATACTGCATATATCTTTCTGTTCTTCTTCACACAATACCCATGCTGCACTGCTCTCAAATGCATCGTATTTGTCCTTTGCCACATGAACTACGTATATTCTTTTTGTTCACCCATTACTAAACTAGTGTCTTTCTCACCGTCGGGTTCATTTCTCTCTCCCTATTATTGTCATCTCACAGAGCCGGAGCGGGGCTGCGGTTTGATTGACGGCTGCTGTGATGTGCAAAGCGCTTTGAACTTCAGACACTTAATTCCCATCAGGCCCTAGTCATTAGAATTCTCCTTCAACACACTTTACATGTGGTGGCAAAGCAAATGTGCTAGATAAAAAATAAATTTGCAAGCTGCTTTGAATTTTACATCAGAAAAAAGACGGGAAAGCAAGTGAGCAAAAGGGAAATGGGGGGAAAGAACGAGTGAGAAAATATATATTGACTAAAAGCTTGAGACTTATAGAGACTTGTTTGATTTCGGTTCAATATGCAAATTAGGGCCACAACAAAAACATTCAGAAAGAATGAGGAGATGAAAAAAAGGAATGAATGGAAAAACAAGCCCTCAGGTATTGGTTCAGCTTGCATGGTGTAAAAACTGCATCTGACCGAAAATAACCAAGAACTTGAAACACAGCTGTTGTTCACTTCTAATTACATATTTCAATTTCAAAGCATACGATTTTAATCACATAATAAATTATCCTAACATTGAGGACAACTGTCATGATCTCAACAATTTTAAACTAAAAATTCCAATCAAATGTTCATTTGATTCTGTTGAAAATTAATTCAATAATTATAAATACTGAACAATACCTGATGTCACAGTTACATTAGAAACATGCATTTAAATGATCTCTTTAAAAAAAAGTATGTGTATATTACCAAAAAAAAAAAAGAAGAAATAAATAAACAAACAATATTGGATTTTAAACATGATGCGGTTTACAAAATGCAGATACCAACTTAAAAATAATAATAACAATATAATATAATAATTAACATAAAAATCAATTTTTTTAATTTTTGTTCATTAGATTTTATAACTGACACAAGTGGGAATGAACACTTGACCAAAAAATGGCTGAATAACCAACTAAGCTGATATATTGGTTTATCAATAGAAGAAAAATAAATCCTTTAGTCTTAAGCGCCCAAAATAGTATTTTGTGCTAAAAGTAAAATGGGAAATATATAATACATAATATGTCAGATGACAATTAAATGTACGATCAGGCATTAGAACGCAGTAATTCTAAATGAATGTTTAATCTCTGTCAGTACACAGTCATTAATATCTCTTTATTAATACCGTCTATGTGCAGCAAACGCTTTTAGCCTCTTAATATTTCAACTAAGCAAAGTGCCGTCCTCATGTACGGAGATGAACTCCTCATTTAGTGGCACTTCATGTTTGACGGTGACAAGAACAAGTCCCTGTGATTCTATTCCACAGCTAATAAAGTGCTGGCAGATCGGTGATGTCTCGCCACGCGGCGGAGATAAGATGCACGTACCACTGCGGTATCAGCTCTGTCTGTCACACTCACACTCTCACTGCGTCTATCAGAGCGGGCTTCATTAGCACAGCGGTCTCCGAGAGTTAAGAGGGAGGCTCAAGGGGGATTATGGGAAAAGAGGTTCCCTATTTCACCTTGCATTGACTCAGGAAAGCATGCAGTCCGGCAGAGCAGCGTTTAAGACCCCTTTATGGTGACTTAAGCCCCTCTTCTCGCTCCCTTTCTGCGTCCCCCTCTCTCTCTCTCACACACACAGAAATGCCGTCTTTATTAGCTCAGGTTCAGAGCCTGTCCAAACGGTCTGGCTCCAAAAGGATTGGGAGATACAGACCGGATTGACAGTTAACAGGGAATGAGAAAGGAGTGAAAGAGGGAGGAAAGGAAATCAGGAGAATGAGAGTTTGTTTGTGGGGGAAGAAACCTTAATCAAGAAATGTAAGCACTGGAAAAACAAAGATCCAAGTGAAAAAAAATTATAATAGGAATGTGATGATCTAAATTTATTGCCATAAAATTTAAAAAATATATATATTTTAATGAATATCTGAAATGTTTTTCTACTACTACCTGAAAATCTGAATCGATTTACCTCACAGTTACTGTTGCAATATAAACCTTGTTTAAATGTAAGAAACATTGGAAACAAACATCAAACCATGGTATTTCCTTGGTACTGGTTGTAGTAGCATTATTACATGTGCATGTGGAGACTGCAGACTCCACATGCACACACTTCAACATCATTAGTTTTGCAGACCATCCTTTGGGCAATACACAAATGTAGCTTAACACTCCACCGACACTTAAATCCCCCTAAGCAGAGAGAGAGAGAGAGAGAGCAGTCAATCACATGCGTCCTGAGTAAGGGGCTATTTCTAGACGGTTTCATCGCTGGTTAAGTGTAGCAGAAGGCAGTGGGGGTGAGTGTTGATTAAAGCATTCTCCTGAGCCAGAGGTCAGTGCTCCTGGGAGAACAGACACCGCTGGGATGTGTGATGGGGATGTGACATCGATATGGTGTGAAACATTTGAAATCTATTCATTCCGTTATTACATTAATCACAGCACAGGCATTTTTGTGATTCCTTGAGGGCAAAAGTATGGAAGCCTTTATCTCACGATTCTCAGAAATGTAAATAAACTCAAATTGAGAGATATACATTTAAAATTGGAATATATAAACTCTGGGATGAACTGTGGGACAAAGAGTTGCAATTACGTTTTTTTTACTTTTTTATTCCAAAAAACAAAAACAATTTGAATTGCAAGATGTAAACTTAGAATTGCAAGAGGAATTTTAAGTTTATATCTTGCAATTTTGAAATATTATTTTTTTCTCTGAATTGTGAGAAAAAGTTTAAATTGTGAGATATAAACTCAGAATTGCAAGAAAAAAAAAAGTCAGAATTGTGAGAAAGTCAAAATTACCTTTTTTTTTTTTTAAATTCCATTGTGGAAAAGGCACTTCCATAAAAAAAGTGTGAGGTCATCTTTTATTTTAATATTTTGTTTATTCTTGATGCTTATACTGCCTTTACATAAAATTTTGTAATGTAATTTAACCTTATGAAACCAATGTCCTCAGGTTGCCTTTAAATATATTACTAAAACAAAATCCTGACAAACATTTTGGAGATGTTTTGGAAATGTTGGTTTTTCCCCAAGCAAGTACACATGAGCTACACTAAAATGCTTAGAAAACATTACCAAGATGGCCACTGAGTTAACTGAAGAACAACTTTGATTGGACACAGCAGGTCACAAGATCCCAATGTGCTGGACCACCCTCACGCAAAATAAAATGACTTTTCTAGAGATCACTGATATGTCTGGATTTTTCGTATCATGTAAGTGTACAGCATTGTAACCTACTTGTCGAAAGTACTGTTCACTTCTACAGTTTAGAAAAATGTACATTATATTGTTCATCATGCTGTCATAATGAAAGGCTTTTCAAAAACCCACAAACAGGATGTAACATGATAATTTCAAGGCGGTGTAGTACATTCCATTGTTAAGAAAACTTGAAGATGCGGTTTAGATAAACCTCGATGAGCTGATTGGGCAGGTGTGTGAAGGTTTAAGCCAAATGATGTGTCATTCATAAATACATCCAAGTGTTGTCTTGTAGGATAAAGCAGCTCCTAGCTAGCTCTTTTATGCTTTTTCATCAAGCCTCAGGTGATACTTACAATGCTTCGACTTTGATACTGGACACTGGATGACATGCTGGAAAACCTGAAGTAAACTTCTATTTGTAGTCTTCTAAACGCCTACTATAATTTTACTTCCCTTCAACACATTGTAAAAAATGTTTCTGTGCCTCAGGGACAGAGACATTTTCCAAAACAGTCCTTTGAGAACTGCACATTTTCCGCACGTTTTTTTGACAAACGCAAACTTAATCTTGAAGGAAAACGCTAACGATTAAAAAAAAAGATAGCGAGCAAATTCTAACCAATGTATAGAATTTTTATGTTTTTGAAAGGAGTATTTTATATTTACCAGGGCTTGCCTTTAATTGATCACAGTAAAAAAAACAAAAAAAAACAGTAATATTGTGAAATATTATTTCAATTTAAAACATCTGTTTTCCATTTTAATATATTTTAAAATGTAATTTCTTCCTGTGATGAATGAATTTTTCAGCAGTCATTACTCCAGTCTTCAGAGTCACATGATCCTTCAGAAATCATTTGAATATGCTGACTTGGTTCAAGGAAAAAAAAATGCTTAATTTTAGTGTTATTTTTTTTGTTTTGTTTTTTTAAAGATTCTTTGATGAATAGAAAGATCAAAATCAATTTAATGCATCCTTACTGAATAAAAGTATTAATCTCTTACACACACAACTTTAAACGGCAGTGTAAAATTTATATTTATATTTGATTAATTTCCACTACCTGGGGCCTGTTTCATAAAACAAGTTTACCAAATAAACCAGGCTTATTTCAGTTAGTCTGACTTATTTTGAACCAAATCAACTGACAATAAGTCAGACTAATTGAAATAAAACTGGCTTATTTGGTAAACTTGTTTTATGAAACAGCCCCTAGTCTGGTCACAGTTTAAATATTTTTAAATTATGTTTCCCATGACTGTGGGAGCCTTTTTCTAATCTAATCTCTTCACTAATTCAATTTTTTTGCCAAAGTACACTCTTAAAAATAAAGGTGCTTCAAAAGGTTCTTCAAGCGATGCCACAGAAGAACCATTTTTGGTTCCACAAAGAACCATTCAGTCAAAGGTTCTTTAAAGAACCATCTCTTTCTTACCTTTTTATAATCGGAAGAACCTTCTTTCGCCACAAAGAACCTTTTGTGAAACAGAAGTTTCTTCAGATGTTAAAGGTTCTTTATGGAACCATTTAGAAAAAAAAGGTTCTTCTATGGCATCATGACGCACCTTTATTTTTAAGAGTGTATGCAGAAACATGGCTTCTCTCTTGAGGCATACTGAACACATTAATATAATGTGATGGTAAAGTAAATGTAGAGGAAAAACAACTTAATAATAATTCATTTGTATAACCAGCAGAACCTTTAAAATGTCAAATGATAGTGAAGGGATGCAGACAGGAAAAAAATATGAACCGAGAAAGGATGAAAGAGACATAGCTGAGAAGGGCAACGGATGATGGAGAACATCCATTCAGACAGAGATAAAGAGTTGCAGAGAAGATGAAAATTCAGAGAAGTAGAGCCAAACATATGAGTCTGGATGTGTGTGAGAGACAGTCAGTCAGTCAGACAGACAGAAGGGAGGGACAGTTAAGACACAAAGCAGACAAAAGATATAGCAAAAACTCTGCAAACTGCAATGGGAGAGAGAGATTAGGTTTGAAAGAGCAGTCTGACAACTAAGCTAACTAATCATTGCCTTTCAGTGATTGAAACACAATATTTGTGGCATTTAAAAATGCGTTCCTCATTCACATAAGCTTATAGTCACACCCATTACACATGCACACAGTAAAATCAGTGAAACAAGTAAACTACAATGACGCATCAGATTCACACAGATTTAACATGCTTTAAATGCACTTAAAGGTGCTGTGGATGGAAAAAAAGTCAAATTAAAGGAGTAATAAATGACTACTCACTCCATCATGGAGGGAGGGATGGTGCAGCAGTCCTGGATGGCTGTGAGGGGGGACGTGAGGTGGGCTGTGTAAGAGGCTTCCACCACCTGCTTGTTCCTGTTCACCACATCCAGGTACCGGTTAAACTTCTCACGGATCTTTTTTGCTAGCTGAAAACAATAAAAACAGATGTATTAATATCTATGCAAACCAAATTTCAATAATGTCTCCATGATGAGTATGCTAACTCCAATTTTGGGGTTCAATTTAGTTCACCCAAAATGAAAAACCTGTCATCATTTACTCACCCCCGACTTCTTCCAAACCTGTATCAGTTCCTTTATTCTGTTAAACACAAACAAAGATATTCTGAAGAATATCCAAAGAGTTGACAGTAGCCATTGACTTCCATAGTGTTTTTTTTCTCTCTATACTATGGAAGTCAATGGCTATTCAACATTCATCAAAATATCATATTTTGTGTGATTTAGAACCACTAGAGGGTGAGTACATGATGTCAATTTTCAGTTTTGGGTGAATAATCCCTTTAATTTTTGCCACCCAATGATTTTGGTCAAAAATGTCAATGTGCTATTTTCACTTTTTGGCAAAAAAAAATAAAACAAAAAATAAAAAATAAAACAAAATTAATTAATTAATTAATTAAAATAAATAAATCAATAAATAACAATGATACCAAAACACTTTAATAATTATATGATTAAATTAATTTAATTTAATTTAAACAATAATTCATTTATTTTCAGTTTTCCAGTGTAGAAGTTAGAAGTATTGACTGAAATGTTTGAGAATTTTCATTTTGGTGCCTTTGGTTTGAGTTGACCATTTGAATGCAATGCTGTCCTTTTTATAAACATAGCATAAATTAATCAAATATCGCTTTGATATACACATTTCTTGTTTGAGAACTCCCTTTCCATTAGTCCTGTGAAATAAACTGAGATTAATTCGCTTTCCAAATCTAGTCCTGCACTCTACATCAAAGAGAGCTTGAACTAAACTTGGAGACTAGTAATCGATCACCATTAGACATGCATTGTCAGCTGCTGCAGTGCCACAGGCATTGGGAAAATGGTTTGGTTCTATAACGGAAAACTGAGTTCATAAACCAGAAGAGGTTTCAGAAAACTGGGATGTTGTTTCAGCTTTGGGTCTATACTGCACTTGTGTGAAGGAGTTACGACTGATTAACTTTGTTTCTGTGAGTTCTGCTTTACCCGTTGCAGACTGGAGTTCCCTGGAGAAAGTTATTAACTAGAGCAGCAGAGTTTCTCCAAATTACTGACACACGAGCCACTTTCTTTTCACCAGATGTTTTAGTAAACCAAAACATACACACATAAAAAGCATTAACTCTTGCATTAACAACAACTTTACATAGGACTTGAATTTTTGCAGTGCCACAGGCATTGGGAAAATGGTTTGGTTCTATAAGGGAAAACTGAGTTCATAAACCAGGTTTCAGAAAACTGGGATGTTGTTTCAGCTTTGGGTCTATACTGCACTTGTGTGAAGGAGTTACGACTGATTAACTTTGTTTCTGTGAGTTCTGCTTTACCCGTTGCAGACTGGAGTTCCCTGGAGAAAGTTATTAACTAGAGCAGCAGAGTTTCTCCAAATTACTGACACACGAGCCACTTTCTTTTCACCAGATGTTTTAGTAAACCAAAACATACACACATAAAAAGCATTAACTCTTGCATTAACAACAACTTTACATAGGACTTGAATTTTAAGGCAAAATCAAATGATAAATCTCATCCTCCGAGTCCTGGATTGGAGAAATGTACCATGACCCATTAACCGTGAACATCCAGTAAGCTGCCTGTTCCAGCCATTACTGCTAAACTTCAATGTTATTCTTTCAAGTTCTCAACCCAAAGGGAAACATTCCCACTTCAGACAGGTCAGAAAATAACACTATCTAACCTTGTATCTAATTTTGTAGAATCTAATCAAACTTTCAAGCCTTGAAAGAGAGCTGGAAGATAACTTAAGGTTATTGCGCTCAATCCACAATATCAACTACATTTTTTTAAACGAAAAATGAAACATACAAGCTAGAGTTAATGTCAAAGAAATGATCTAATACATAAATATCTTATGACAAACTGTGTAAAAAAAATTAGTTTGGGTATTTCACAAGGTCTGTGTCCTAGCTCATTAAAATGGTGACAATAAGAGAAGACAGGCTTTCTTTGTCTTTGTGTACATACAAGACATGGACATGATCCTAATTGGAGCCGTTTTCCACTGGGGTGCCTTTTCAACTTGCACAAACGGCAGTGCCAGGCCTTCATTACCATGTGTGTGCGTAGCGCGTACACAAGACTGGCAGATGTTAACTGCATTGCCAAACGAGCAACTGATGAAAGTCACATTTTTTTAGAGGAACCCAGAATAATGGGATTTGTAGTTACAGATCAAAAAAAAATATTATATAACCTTTACAAAGGCAAACAGTGAATAACTGTAAAAATTGTAAAAAAAAAAAAAAAAAAAATTAGGTTGGCATATTAACATTACATTAGTTAATGAAATACATGTTTTTACAGTGAATTTAAGTTAAGTCTGTAAATCCTAAAATTTTGCTGCCATATTTTTTTATGGTAAAGTTCTGGCAACTGCAGCTGCTGGTATTTTACCGTAAATTTCATAAATTGTTTTTTTTTTTCGCAGGACTTGACACCACAAATGTAAATCAATTAATTAATATAATGCTTTTCGTTTTTTTCCTCCCGCAAACTAACGGCAATCAAAGCTGTTCGAATATGACAAATGTTTTGGCTAACATGGAAGATTAATTCACTTTGGCTTTCCTTGGGAAGTTCTAATGGGTTTTAGAAGGTTTTTGAGTTGAAGTAAAATAATGTCTGGTTAAAACCACTTAATAAGACATAGACATGAGTTTAAATGCTTGACTTTTATATTTTATATTTTTTATACTTTCAAGAACACACAATGGTTTAAAAATCTGAGGTATGGCTCGATTTTGTGTGTGTTGCAGAACAAAAATTCACTTCAGTTTACTCAAATTAACAACCATTATTATTTCCATATTTTTTATTCTTCAACAAATAAGAAATTCTTGAATATGCCAATTCTCTTTCTGATTTTAGGACAACAAACTGAAGAGCTCTATTAAACAGAAACTAAAACTAGGTAAATTTAATGCAATACAGATTTCAGAGCTAAGAATAGACTGTATTTAGGCTGCATTACCATACCACAAAATAATATAAAAATAAAATGATTCATTTCTAAACTTCACACATTTGTGTGTACTTCCTGCTGTATATCAAGTCAATTTTAACACGAAGTAGTTTTCATACATGTAAAAATGACTTGACCGAATTTTATCAGTGGAAAAGGTGTTTCACATGTTCCACTTAAATGTAACACTTCAATAAGTCTGAATCTACTCAGATTAGTCAACAACACCAGCGGCAAGATCCAAAATAGTGGAGTAATCATTTTAATTCTTCGTCTACATCTCCTTCACTTTTTATATGAGTACATCCAGCACCAATTAATGAGAAACAACAAAACAGCTTTATAGCATGACAAAGCCTGAGTGTCTTCATAATCAAACACGTTCAGGTCTTGATTGGCTCAGCAGGCAGAACGGTTTATCAGCGTCTACCCCCAAAAATCCTGTTTGGCAATTAGCTGTCGAGGTGTCGCTAGAAAAACCTGCCAGCGATCGGCTTAATCTCTCACCAGCAGCCGGTAAATAGCTGCAGGTGAGAGGAACGAGAGAGACAGCGTACAGGGATATTTCACACAAAAGGGCTTCTCTTGGCATGGAAACCCAAGTGAAGAGTAACAACCTCTCCGTTCTTGCTCAGGGCGTGTGTTTGTGTGTCACTGAGAAACACATTCATAGGGTACGAGCTCAGTTGCTGCCACTCATGCTGATTTGTTTTGAGGCTGGTCAGAACAGAGTGTATTAACATTGAAAGCTCTTTATGCCTTACAGCAAAAACAGAAGCTGGAGTAGGCAAGAGGGAGAGGCCCATGGCAAGAATAAATCACACTAGTGGATGACAGGCTTACTGTCTTATAACTGACGGAGAAAAGAAATGCATTCCCACAGTTTCAGATGGGAAAGTACTGAAATATAAATTCCATGGTTACTGTGGCCTAAATTATTATTTTTCTTTTAGCTGTGATGATACATATGCACACACTATATACACAGTTGTGCTCATTAATGTACCTCATCAAATAATAATATATTTTTGAAGTAAAAATATAAAAATTAAAAAAGAAGGGATCATAAAAACAGTGTATTTAGTTTGAGAGTCTGCATAACAAATATATGGACTATATATAGACAAAAACTACAACTTACTGATTCTCAAGGAGGCAACGGACACAATATTAAAGACCAAGGGTCTACAATTTTAAACAGGATAATTTATGTAAATTCTGTTATTGCTTTGTCTTGTAGAATATAGCTTCATAAGGACTGTATGTAGTTTAGGAATGCGTTACAAAAATGCAATTGAATTTGAATAATAATAATAATGAATAAGTCGAATTTGAGCAATAAATAAATAAATAAAATAAAATGATTTTGAGCAGATCAAAGTCCAACAGGGTATTGGGAATTTTGTTAACTATAAATTATTTGTAATTAAAGGGGTCATATGACATTGCTAAAAAGAACATTATTTTATGTATTTGGTGTAATGCAATGTGTTTATGCAGTTTAAGGTTCAAAAACACATTAGTTTCCACATAAATGTACATTGTTGCTCCTCTATGCCCCGCCTTTCTGAAACGCGTCAATTTTTTACAAAGCTCATCGTTCTGAAAAGTGAGGTGTACGCTGATTGGCCAGCTATCCAGTGCGTTGTGACGATTGGCCAGCTATCCAGTGCATTGTTATTGGCCGAATACCTCAAGCGTGAGACGTAAATGTTACGTCCCTACCATACTGTGATATCGTGTCCCGGCGCGACGAGACAAAAACAATAAAATCCATTATAAACGAGGCATTTGTTAGATCCAGTGGGGACATAATTACTGATTATAATGACTTATACGGTCTTTTTACGCGTTGCGTTGCATCGCATCGCGCCACGTAAACATAAAACCATGTCTGCATTTGTGATCGGAGAAAT